CCATAGTTCAGTTAAAATAAAATGATTTATCAAGGATGGGCAGTAGGTGTGTTTTAAGAACATATATGGAGAATCAGAGTCTTGAAGTGTGGTGTGGGAACATCTTTTCTTTCTCATCATGCCTTAGTACTTTGGCTGTACGGCGAATACTGCCATTGATTCGCTTTGCAAATCAAGTCTTCAAGGACTTCATCCATGGTCTCCATACCTTTGATTATCTGAGAGCTCTTGTGAGCCTGATGGAGTCTTTTTAAAGATCTTTTAAAGGATCTATAGCATGCAACCGGGACTAAAGGAACACTTTAAAGGGATAGTTCACCCAAAAATGATTTTTTTATCTTTATTTACTCACCATCAAGTTGTATTTATTTTTTCTTCTGTTACATTAAACATGGTATTTAGAAGAATGTGGGTAACCAAACAGTTGTTGTATGTAATTGACTTGGATAGAATGAAAAACGCTAATAATAAGGAAAAAAAAAAAAAAAAAAAAAAAACTCTACCTTCTCTGGTGGAGCAACACATTTTGCGGGAAAATAAATAATAAATGCAGCTTGTTTTGTTTTAAAAAATCTTATAAATGTAACACAAAATAATGTAGTTTTTAAAAATTCATAAATTAAGACAACCAAGACTAAAAAAAACAAAAAAGACAACACAAAAACATTTACTAAAATGAAAATGAAAATATTAACAGAAAAAAATAAAAACTTTCAAACCATTAATACAAATTATAAATTTCAATTAGTTGGCTCAATGATACTAATATAACAGTGGTCTGAATGACAAAACTAGCCTGACATAATGTTTGTACCAGTCAAACACGCATTAGTTTTCATTTTATTGAGATTTTGCATTGATAAGGATTTAGTCTGCCACATTTTCCATATTAATTTTTATGTTTTCAGAAAAAACCCACTTGGGTGGCAAATGTTTATAGGCTTCATAAGGGGCCTCCGGTTTGAAATAATCTGCTATAATTTTTTCATGGGGGTCATTTTGCAGTTTTAATGCTTCTGTCTGGTCGCAGCTAGTTATGGTCTGTCATAAATATAGTAGCAGTATAAACACACGCCTTCAGCAGGAAAAGAATGAGGGGCACAAAACGAGTTTACCAATTAGAGTGATGGTGCGAGAGCTGAGGAGATACTGACAGAAAGGTGCACTGAAGGAAAGAGGAATGAATTAGAGGAAGAAGACTGGTCCTTTCAACTCTTCCAGTCCTGTTTATTTCTCTCTCTCAGTATAATGATGCCCCCAGTTCGTCTAATCCCATTAAAGGCCAGATTAATACTTGGGAGCTGATAGCTGAGAGAGTGGACGCACCACCGGCGGCCAAACCACAGTGTGGACACTCTCTGACTAAACCTAGACTAGAAAGAGCATCGGAAGGAGAAGCAGAGAGAGGGAGGTAGAGTATACATAAATGGGTTCCTGTGGTTGAATGGCTTTAGCCGTGGAGTGTCACAGTAATTAAACTTGAGAGAAAGACTTCAGAAGTCAAATTGTTCCCTTGACCCCCCAATATGAGAAACGGCAGCCTGTTAGCCTTAACAGTTGCCATTAACATTAATGAGAGGTGTCTGAGAATTTGAAATAATGGTTTAATGGAGTTAAAACAGGAAATGAAATCGTTTAAAAGCCCATTATATTGTTAGACCTTTTTTTAACCAGGAAAGAAACCTTGAGATTAAAAATGTATTTTACAGGAGTGTCCTGACAGAGATAGGTGGTTAATTAAGCTACACACAAAAGTTTATAAATGAAATGCAACAGAAAATATGTGAAGGGCCTTGCAAAACCAGCTTACACCAGCAAGCCTATTTATTTATTTATCTATCTATCTATCTATCTATCTATCTATCTATCTATCTGTCTGTCTGTCTGTCTGTCTGTCATCTATTTTTTTTCATCAGTTATGTTTACCCTCTTTTTCCTTATTTTATTTTCATTTATTGTATTTTTTTTACTATCATAACAGCAAATTACAAAAGTGGCAAAATGTTTAGTTCATGTTTGGGCAGAAGTACTGTGGTGGTAACTATCCTCCACACTCTAGGGGGCGATAGAGTTAGCTTAAAATAACCGTGTCTTTAAATTAATGTGTTGTTATACTGTTAGCTATAAACATTTCACAAGTTTACTGACTTGAATCAACTTTCTTAGCAGGGCTCTCTTCAAACTGAAGAGAGCCCTGTGCATTGTGCATTGCATTGTGCATTGCACAAAACGTAACAATATGTGAATGTGAGCTTGTGTAGCTAGAAACGTTTTTATTTGTGCACTTTGTGTATCCTCTGAAAGTATGCTTTGCCTTTTCCCTCCCCTATTAGCATTTAACTTTATATTCTTAGATTAAAGGACAAGATGGATTAAACCCCTAGAGGTTTTTGCCTTTTATGACCGTAATCCTTCACAAGCTGTCTGAGCATGTCAATGAGAAATATCTGACCATCACCGCGTGTGTGGTGGGTACCAGACGGTGCTCTGCCAGGTCTAGAATGGAAGCTCATTAAGGAGCTGGAATATGTCAAATGCAGCTCACCCTGACCGCCTTATTACTGCCTATATTCAATAAGTCACTGTCGCATAAGGCAGTCAGAAACCTTCACAATGCAGCCGCTGACCTTTTTAACCGGCATATTCTATTAGCACATGTAAATGGCATAGACTTCAGACTGGAAATATGACGCAGGATGTCTAGCGTCTACTGCCTAGTTGTTGTCAGAAGTTGTGTTGTGCTGCTAACTACGCACAACTGTGGTGTTAACACAATGTGTGAAAGACACATTTGTAGGCAGTTTGAAGGAGCTCATAGAAGACATTGTTGGATGTCTTTGTTTCTTACATTGAGACAGTCAGATCCAATTAAGACATTCTGATTTGGATTGGGATTTTGGACGTGACGACTAATAAAATGTATTGTAGAAGACACGTAGCTTGTTGCTTTGTCTCATTGTAACTAATTTTAGAGAACCCCTTGGTTATGTTTTATATTTGAGTATTGGCAGATTTTTGCACTGACCTGTTGTAGTACTTGGAGCAGTTTGGTTATGTTTACAAGGAGTGCCGCACAAAGAAAAGCCTTTAGAAACCGCGTGTAAGCTGTTAATCCAGCAATTGTGAATGATCCAATGCTGAAAAATGTTGCATGTCTTGCTTTTGTGTATGTGTGTGAGTGTGTGTGAATTACTTCTTCAAATCTAATTGCTGTTTGCAAATCTCAATGCTGTGGGTACTTTTAAGAAATGGTTTACTGACTTTTTGCATGGGCTTATTACATGCTGTGTCAGTTGCTTTCTGTTGGATGCATGTCTTTTGTGTGCTTTGAAAACAAAACCACAAGCAGTGTGTCAGCTGTAACCATGTACAGTAGCCTTGCAGGGGATTCATGTTCCAGCATGTCTGTAAAAACCACATCACTCATTAGAAAGACTTTATGAACTTTTGAAAGCGGTAGTGCTCGCTTTGCCTTTCACCTGCAGCATTAGGGTTCGTTATCTGTTGTTTAATTCATTGAGTAAAAAGAAATAAATGTATTTCATGAATGGTTTAAGAGAATAAAAGAGTGCTTTATAAAAAATGTATTCCATATAAGCCAACAAGGTCAAGAGCTTCAAATACAAGCCACCTGTACTTATGTTGAATTATAATTTTTGAGGTCGCTCAGATTTAAAGAGCTGTCTGGTCTATTGTTATAAGTGTATCGGTGCAGATTGTTACTTTTAACGCAAGCTTTACCTCCAGACAGATTAAAATGCTGCAGTGAATTACTTAAATGATCAAGGGTGTCTAGGCACTAGAGTTTACGGTACGTCAGACAATACTTTGAATCTATTAATTTCAATTTTAAATTAATTTAAGGGTTATGCATCACAAGGGCATATCAGAAAAAAAAAAACACACAAAAGTTTCAGAAAGTAAAGCAACCAAAAGTTTTAACATTTACTGCAACACCAATGAAACAGTTAATATTCAACCCACTCTCATTCCCAAGGAGGCAAAAACTAAAGCATGGTTAAGTGCCTTTAGCATCACTGTTAGGATGCTGAAGGTATACCTCGGTTGCTATAGAAGTCTATTGAAAATCCTTTGATGCCAATACTCAATTTATTGTCATTTAATTATAATTTGGTCTCCATGCCTTAATCTGTTGAATAAGGCAAGCAATTGAAAGCAATGGAGTTCCAAGTTCATCAAAATATATTGACACCTATGGGCAGGGATCTCCTGGAGAGCTGCCGTCCTACAGACTTCAGTTCCAACCCTGCTCCAGCACACCTTCCTGTAATTATCAAGTAACCCTGAATGCCTTGATTAGCTGGTTTGGGTGTGTTTGGGGTTGGAGCTGAAATCTGCAGGACGGTGGCTCTTTAGGAGCAGGGTTGGAGGAGACCCTTGGCCTAGGTTTTCCTTAATAGTGAAGCACAAGGTGCTTCAGTTCTTGGTGCCTTAGGAGTGAGCATGGGTTGTACTATTAGGTCAATTTTATCAATCCGATTGAATCTTTTAATTAATACCTTCAACGGTTCAAATTCTGTCCTTATATAATTTTGTACCCAAAACTAAAGCGACATGGTACAACCAATATGCAGAAAACAATATGTTATGTGGGTATTAGAAACTGGTCCCAATGCGCAATAAATGAAAACATTATGCCCTTGCTCTAGTGTACCAGGTACCCTAAATTTCAAGACTTTTGTTTGTTATCTTTGCTTATAAAATGGTTAGCGTGCTTGTTCTTGTGTACCTTACATAAAATGCATGATGAGACTAAACATTCAGCTCTTGCTTTCTGTGTTAAGCTGTCATAATGGATTGGTTTTGTGGGAGTGGGTGGGTGGTTGTGGGTATGGGACGGGGGCTCCTTCCTTTCTTCCCTTTTCTTTCTCCTCCCCTATTTTCCGTTCCTCATCAAAAATGAGCACCTGCACAAATGCACCTCCTTCCCACCAGAGCACTGACACACTCTCCCCTTCCATCTGTGTTTTCCTATCCAGAATTCCCTAACTCCCCGCCTTTTGATGGCCGTGAGATCCCACTGGAGGAGCATAGTTCCGGTGCTGCCATCGGCTGCGCGGTCGGTGGGGTGGCCCTCCTGGTGGCCGCCATCGCACTGCTCGTCTTCTTCCTGCGGCGGCGTCAGCGCACCTTTAAGGGCGACTACAGCACCAAAAAGCATGTGTTCGGGAACGGATACAGCAAGGCTGGCGGCGTGCCCGCTCATCCTCCGATGCCCAAGAACCTGCAGTACCCCGACGACTCGGACGATGAAAAGAAGCCGGCACAAATTAGCGGGCCCGATGGTTTTGAGGGCGGCGATCGGGATTTCGACGGCAACTCTGAGGATCTGAAGAGACCCTATTTCACCGTAGACGAAGGAGAAAGTCGCGATTACGACGAACGGACTCTCGCCTTCCAGTATGACCCCGAGCCCGAGATCGTCGACGACATGGTCTCCCAAACCGACGGCTCTGTTATTTCAAAGAAAGAGTGGTATGTGTAGAGTGGCATGCAATGTCAAGGGGAAAAAAAAAAGATCAACGACCTTTTGCCCTCTCTTGCATCCGACCACACCCATCCACCTCCATCACTAGAACCCTCCCTCCATGTGTTTATCCCTATCTGCACATCCCACCCCTGACCCAGTAAGCTCCGCCCCATCAGAGCCCATCGAAATAAACAGCTGTAGAAAAATAGCTCGCAGCATCAACACGTCAACATCATTACACATCCACACGCTTTTAGATGAACCTGCTACAAAAGCAATCGGTTTTCTCACAGACTGATGCCAATCAACATCCAGTAAGGCTGGACAGGCAAGTCGCTTGAAAATATTACAGTGTATTATCCTTTTTGTCTCATTTTGTTGTTATTATAAATGTATTAAATGTATAAAAAGAGACTGTAACTGTTTTGGAAAGGGGTATATTGCTGATCATGTTGTGAAAGTCTTACACTGGATGTATGATTATTTTTTTTATTGTTTGTTTGTCTTGTTTTTTTTATCTCATTAGCATATTACCATTAATTTTACGTTAAGCATAGGTTTTGTTTGTTTTTATATAGTCTTGTTTTTTTCTTATATGGAGTGTTGGTTACCAGAAAATGTGGAACTAAATAGTAGAATAATTATTCCCGCCCATACATGTGTCATTACGAGGTCGAAGGTTGCATTAGCACTATTGTGTTTAATGGAAACATCATAATCCTGTGGTTCTTGGTACCAGCGCCGCTCCCAACATCCCTGAATCCAGGGGTCTGAAAATGTGGCATGGCCTGGTAGCATACAATCCAATGGAACAAAAAAGCATGTGGGTTCTGACTGCTTTCCAAAAACAGTATTTATTTTAAGACCCAGCTACCCTGAGAGCTGAGGAACACATCTGCAGCGTTAGTCATATGCACACTGCAGTCGAGCATGCAGAACGGGGCCTAGACAGATATACTGCGCCCACCTACCCGCCCCTCATTCTCCATGCCAGTCTTAGTCAGTCTCCATCCACAGATCCACCTCGGATGTGCCATCACATGTAGTGTTATCATAGCGATGCTTTCCAAAATCCATTTCCTCTGAAACTCTTAAGACACAAAAGGATAATCCTGTATAATGTGGTGTTGTTATAAAGACAGGGTGTTTGTTATTTAGAGTTGGTGATGTGGAGTGGTCAAAATGTTTTCAAGATCTTGTAAATATGAACAGGTTCAATGGTAATGCTTAGTTCCACAGGAGATTACGACACAGGCGTGTAGCGCTTGTGTCAACCACCATTTAGAGACTTTTGATGGAAGTAGTTTTTCCAAAAGTAGGTAGCGGTAAAAGCACAGAAATAAAATTACGGAAAAGTCTCGAGCCAAAGTGAAATCGGAGGTAAACATGACAGCAACTAGGCATCACAGACAGGCTTGTTATTTACTGCTGGATCTCTGAAACCACAGGATCTGCGGCAAAGGAAAGCCTGGATTTCTTTCCAAATCCTCCCTGATCCTCTATAAGGAGCAGTTCTGTTGGCTACAAATTAGTATGTATTTAAATAAATAAAACAGATATTCATCAAAGTCCTGACATACCTGTTCAACTGCAAAATGTACAAGCATTCAAGGCCTTTTTTTAATGCATGTGCGTCTTTTTTAATCGCTCTTCGTTTGGTTCAGCCTTTATCAGACTTTTTACATCCGGGTTTGGTGTTTGCAAAAGGGTGGGCAGTTTTCCACTAGATGATTTTGCTTCCAGAGACAAATAACCTCCCTAGCTGTATCCATATCTCTTTCTAGACTCAAAAAATGCTTTAGTAGAATTTATCATGGCTTGTCCATGAAATATTTAATTCCCTTGCCTGCCTTAAACAAGGCTCTTTACAAGACAAGAGATTAGGATGCTGAACCACTGTAATCACACAGACAATCTAGGCGGACTTGAAAACATGGGAAACTCCAGATGAAAGCCACTTACTGTAGGTTGCTCATCCATGAGCAGGCCCTCGTGGAATCTGGTGGCATTTTTGCATTAGAAAATCTGCAGAAGGGACTTAAAAATGATAACATGCATTAAAGCTAGTAAATGAAGCCATTATTAAAAGAACCCACATAATAAACAAACTAGAACTTGCAGCAGCAGATTCCTTGTGGTCTGTCCCATGAGGAAAGTCGTAATATGTCTACACCTAAGCTACAAATGAATAAAAACCTTGATGGTAGACCTCATGCACATCTTGATTTGACCTAAAACAGACCACATAATGAATAACTGTATATTTGTTGCTTAGCAAACCTTGTATTTTAGCTTAGTAAGGTCAATGTGCAAAGTTATACAAATTGCAGTGCCTATGACGTGTGAGATGTAAGGTTTTACTTTTTTTTAGATCTGAATCCTGTACATATTTTTTTTTAAGAGTTATTGTCTGCCCTCACTGTACATTTTTTACAACATTCGCATGATAAACATATGAATCTACACAAGTTGGTCAGTGTGATGGAAAGCTTATCACCTGGACTTCAAGTATTAAGAAAGCTGTATTTTTACCAAGTTTTTTAAACCCTCATGAATACAAATATTCTCTCTCTGCTTCATATGATGACAAAATACAAAAGCAACCCATCGCTGGTCCGTCAGCACTTTGTTAACCAGCTCACAACTGGAAACCTGCTACGCAATCATGGCTGTGATTAAAGAGACTGACATCACTTTAGCTAAAGCACAAGTTTTTTGTTCCAGAAGTTTAATTAGTTGTTAATTTTATATGTAATTTTTTATTGCTTTCATTTCTCTTTCTCTTTCATTCTTTTCATTGACCCCTATGCTCCCAGGGTTTTGTTAATTAAAGGGTTATTTTTCGTATGTTTTCTCAAGCCAAGCACAAGTTACCCATTTACCAAATGGCTATTATGGCTTTAAATGTCAAATAAGAGAATTCAAATGACTATAATTAATTTTCATGACCCATATCAGCTTATTTCTTTTCATACAGTAATCTGTCTGCTGGATCAGTTGATGTTGATGCTTCTAGCAACATTAAATAGCCTGCATAAGCGCATGAGCGTACTAAGAAAATAATAGTTTGTCTTTTTTTTGTTCATTTTCTTTTTGTTTTGAATATTGTTCTACAGACAAAATACAGCTTTTTTTTCTTTTTTCTTTTATATGTTCCTCGTTTTTATATAGTTTTTTTTTTTTTTCATTCCTGAGTCTCAAGTCTTTCTAACTGCCCACTGCAAAGCCTGACATTCCACTGTAAATAATGTATGTACCTTGGAAACTATAGTTGGGTTTGCTGTATGTTAGGGGAACAGAAACGGAGGAGTTCAAGTCTGGACATTGACTGCAAGCTGAACTAGAAAACAAATTAGACAGCTCAGATGACTGGAGATGTATAGCTTATTGTCATAAATCTACTTCGACATGGACTTGGGTTGATAGGTTTTGATATTTTAATGGGTTCTGTATAGAGATGCGGGGTTGATGCATTACAATGACTGTGTACATAACTGCAACAAAACAAACAAGCAAACAAACAAAAAAAAACATAAAGAAAGATCTTGTCTTCATGCAGCCGTGTGAATGTATGTCTGCTGAGGTCGGTAATGATATGAAAAATATATATATTGTTCACATGTGTTTACCCAGTGAAGTAAACTGTATTTGCTTTAAAACATTAAACGATTTAAATGTTCAAAGATGTGTTGTCCCAGTTCAATCAATATAGATGATGTTTTTATTTGATATCTTCTATTTACCCTTCACAATTATGCAACACTGTTTTAGTGCCACACACAGACACACACACACACACTTCTTACATAAAAATATAGTATAGTATATTTAATGTTACAACAAATATATTTTGTAACATTATATTCAAAATATTATATTATGACTTCTGTTCTGTAAATCAATTTTTTTTTAATGCTTGTTTATACAAGTGTTAGCATACAATAATAATTATTAATCATTATATAATTTAATTATTTTGTTAGTTAAAGATGAGTCGTCCCATTTTGGTGGTCATGCATGATTTTATATACACAGAAAGCATATTAAATGCAAGCAAAGTGTCTATATATCAATCATCATAAATTGTATTATATTGTAAATGGTATTCAAACTGTCACACTGAATGACCCATGTAGTATTTTCTGTATTCTTACATAACATACATAACATGCATTTCAACAAGTCAAAACAAGCCAAGTTTAGTGAGCAATGCTGCACTGTAAACAATACACAATATAAACAATAAACCATAAATAAATACAAAAACAATAAGGGTCAGAGATAGCATAGTTTACACAGTGTAAGTATAGAAGTCTCTCTCTCTCTCTCTCTCTCTCTATATATATATATATATATATATATCATGTACTGTATAAAGTACGAAGTGGCAAGTGAAAAGTGACAAAACATTTACTTTAAAAAATAAATATAAAACTATACAATATACTTGTGATAATGTACGCATACAGTACTATAGTATTGATTTATAATAAAACAATATGCCACAAGAGGCTTTGAATATACAGCCATATACATAAATATACTAAAATGTATTTGGAATACATTTATTTCATGCTAAGTATACTACAAATACATTTACATATTTATGTACTTAATACGCAATTGTACATTTGGTATGCTAATCTGGTATACTTAGCCACATACTTAAAGTCTGCTTAATTATAACAACTAATTTTGTACTTGCACTTTAATTGTGCGGAAGTAGTGCTGAAGTCCATGATAAGCGCAAGTAAGTACCATTTTGATTAGCCGTCGTACCTACAATGACTGTGCACTGTGTAAACAATGAGTGACATATACGCGCAGGAGATCACTAGCGTAAACTACGCCAGAGCGCGTACACACCTCACGCACCGGATGCCGTGCGCGCGCTCAAAGACAGTTGGACATAGTGGTGTATTAGAGGTAAAATATGATATAAATACTGTTCGTTTCTGGCACAAACCGATCGTTTCGTGTCTTAGGACATCAATGTGTTGTCACGAGCCGCAGGGTTTAATTTGGATTTGTCTGTGCATGTTTTTTTTACTCTCATAGATTTTGTTACCATTGCCATGCATTACACGACTGATAGACTGCAACGGCTGGAGTTAAAAATCATCATATGTGTTCTACTGAAGAAACAAAGTCACCTACATCTTGGATGCCCTGGGGGTAAGCAGATAAACATCAAATTTTCATTTTTGGGTGAACTATCCCTTTAAGTAAGTATTTGAGGCACTTTTTGATCAATTAAAATGATCTAAGTTATTTTAAGAAAAATGTTATTTTAAGACAAATGAATGAATTAATAAATATAAATAAATAAAACATCAGACACGTTTAAGGTCATCAAATGTCTGTATTCTCATCCCCACCTCAGGGGTTTCCTTGAATGCGACTGCAGGATCAAATGAATGGTAAAACATACAATCAAGCAATATAATCAGACACATTTATTATGGGAAAAAATGATCAGATAAGGTTGAAGACAAAATTACCAAACACATTTATCAAAGTTATTGTAAGATAAATAATATAACAAATGATCAGACAAATGATCAAAGTTATTGGAGAAAAAATTATCAAGCAAATGATCAGACTGGAAAACTGGTCTAACAAAATGATCAGAAAACGTTATTGTAAGAAAACAATGATCAGGCAAGAGATTAAATAAAATGATTAGACAAAGTTGTTGTAAGACAAATGAAAAGATAATATACTGATAATATATTGTCAATATATGTCTGATAATATAATATCATATGTATTATTGTAAAAATAAACAAAATTATTTAGCTATTGTAAGACAAAAAGATCAAACAAAAAGTAATTTTAGGTAAAAATAGACAGACAACTTTTAGGACAGACAAAATAATAATAAACAAATGAACAGACAAATGACTAAATAAAATATCAGACAAATTTACAACAAAAAATTGCCAAACAAAATGATCAGTCAAAGTTGTTTTAAGACATAATGATAAAAAACACACTTATTTGTAACAATAAATAAATAAATAAATAAATAAATACATGTTCAGACACAGAGAAAATGATCAAACAAAATGAAGTTACTGTAAAAAAAATTAAAAAAAACATGATCACATTATCAGTTTTTGGGAAGACAATATGATCAAACAAATGATCACAGAAAATTAAGTTATTGTAATATATATATTATTGTACAAATTATCGTACAATTATTGTATTAAACTTATTGTACAAATGATCAAGCCATCAATAACTACTAGCCACATACTGTACAACTTCACATAGCAAGACCCTACAGAGTGACAGGTTAATTTAGGGTAAATCTACAATCCTATTACCTATCGTGTAGTTTATTGTGTTTATGCAGTGTTTGTTGCTATAAAACGGCTGTATTTGAGTAAATCTGTGGGAACTGCATTAATGACATGTTCAAAATGATGGTAGCAAAATTGGGTATAAAATGAAAATCAAAAATAGCTCATTTAATATTTTGTTTGACATTATGAGGCTGATAGTCAACTGATGCTTTAGCACATCACTGACCATTTGATGAAAAACTGTACCCTATTTTGGAAGGTGTCAAATATCTCACCAATTTTGCCTGTGTAATTTGTTATCATTGTGCCAGTCAGGCATCAGTGCTACAGAGGCACTTCTCCACTAAAGACAAGAAGACTGGCTTCTGCTTAGAGCTTTGCACTCACAGACTTTATATATGCAGCAAAACCAAGATGTGTTTCATTACAATGAATCATGTGACATTATGAGGCAGTAAATCTGGTCAATCTCTGATATTCCTGCAGCATTACTTTCCATGTACACATGCTGTCAGAAACTCGAACTCACATAAAATATACAGATATACTTTTACATTATACATGCAGCTAAAAAGAACTGCATTTGATCTGCAGTCTCAGCCTACATGGATTATGCAGAAATATTAATTCCTATGCCATGTTATATGTAGGGACAAATTTATATATTTTCATACTGTACCATAGAGGGATAAAAATTGTTATGAAACATAGACTTATTATTCGGGCATGTAGTTTCACATATTCAAAAACCACAATGTATTTGCTGTGGCAACACCCGTAAAAAAGTAAGAACACAGTGGTGTAAAAAAAAACTCTCTGTCTATAATTATTCCCTTTATTATTCCCCCCTCATGATATAAAATTGGTAATTTGGGATAAACAGGAAAGTGTGTTCATTGTTTGTTTGTTTGTTTGTTTGTTCATTCATTCATTCATTCATTCATTGCATGTCATTTCTTTTGCTGAATAACAGTTTATTAATTGTAAACTAACATTTTTTTTGCTTGTTACTCTACTATATGTTTTATTGTAATACAGATAGATAGATAGACAGATACAATAGATCAGCATAAATGAAAAGTAGTTCAACAAATATTTCCATGCATTATTTCACTAATTATTTATTTATTTACTTATTTACTTACTCTCTTGTTTATGTATTTATTTATATATCTATTTACTGTCTTACAAATGATTAACTGTTACTTTATTTTGTTTAGATTTTTTGTATTGTGGTAATTGATATATGCATTTTTTAAACTAAATGTAACTTCTTATTTTGTAGACATGTTCTTGACAGGTTTCTTGAGCGTAACCCACTTAAATCTTGTCACTTTGCCATTTTTTTATTCCCACTTTAGTAATACAATACAGATTTACAATTTAGTAATACATTTGTCAAACACAACAAAATCTACATGCACAGTTAATATTAATGTGAGATAAAAACTCAGAGATCCACTTGCAGTCCTTAAACATCAGACTGTGTTAATGCATGAGAAAGACTAAACAGTCATTTAGATGAATACTGTATATCATGTGATGACACAATGATATTGCTGCAGCAATGGTTCTCCAACCCTGAGAGAGAGAGAAAAAAAGTAGTCTTTTGTCGTCACGCTATTTAATGTAAACAAAAATGTGGTATCTTCTCAGAATCACAAATATGACATGTTTGTGTTTTTCTTTATAGCACCAGCACTTAAATGGTTTACAATAGATTCCAGCAAATCATAGTCTTCTTTCATA